ATACCTAAAGTATCAGGAATCACATGACATACAGTCTCTTTATTAAATAATTTAACTTTTACTCTTCCGAGTGTCTTTATTGGTACATTTGCAATACCGTGCAATTCAACAATTTTACTTTTATCAATTGTCGTCGGATCATTTACATAGCTAAATTTAAGTAAGTTCGGCGAAGCTCCTGAATCTATCATCATAATTACATCTTTATTTTTATTTGTTTTGCCTACAATAATATACGGTAGATCGTCTAAATTTTCTAATTTCACGCTCATGATTAGTACTCGTTTACGGTTTCCTCCTCGAAAGTCAATGTCACTGGACGCTTTTAAAGTGCCTCTGACCCCGCGCCCATTTGGCGAGACACATTCGAGTTTTCCTGTTCGTCGTATTTTTTAGCTTTAAGACGGAAACAAGTGGAAATGTCGTGACCAGATTTTTTACAAAATTTACAAGATTTACTTTGATTACTTTCATTCGAATGATTAATTAATCGACACGTTTTAGCAATATGACCATTTTTTTCACAAATTTGACATTTTACGTTTGATGAAACTCTATTTGGATTTTTAAAACAATTTTTAGCAGTATGTCCAGTTTTATTACAAAGCTGACAATTTCCTCTTGAATTATTATTATCTTTCTCTCGACAATTTTTCTTTATATGACCAGGTTCATTACATGAATGACAAATAATCTTTGGTTTCTCTTGACTATTATTATTTAAACTTTTGTCTTTATCGTTATTTAGTTTATTAGTTACAAATTTAACGGGTTTATTTTTATCTTCATTTTTATTTTCTTTAGTTTTTATACTATTTGGGTCTTTACGAATTTCTTTTCGCGCAATTAATCGTCTTTCTATTTCTATTGCCTTTTCTAAGGCCTCAGTGACGTTGTCACATCGAGACATTCGTTGATCTATTTCATTTCTTAAATTTTGAACAAAACATTGAGCTACGGCTTTATCAGTATTATCCTTATAGATTTGAATTTCATTCGGAGTAGCAGTCGGATTATTTGATTTGAAACATTCTACTATTTCTTTTGCTTTGTTCCGTAATCTATTAACAAAGTCTACTACTAATTCATCATCTTTTTGAAACATTCTTCCTAGTTCACCTTGCAACTGAAAAAGTGTTTTAGAAGGAACATAAACTTTTTTAAGATCTCTTAAGAGTTCATTTACAGTGCTATATGTTATTTTATTTAATGCATCTTTAACTGAAGGAGATAATTTACTACCAAAAATTAATTTAGTGAGATTTGATTCTACTTGCTCTGGTAACATACATTTTGCTTTCTCACAACAATTTGAAAAATCAATTAATTCTTCTGGTTTGCCCGTAAATATAGGAATGCATATTAACGCGTCTTTGAGAGATATATTTTGATTATCAGACATTTTCCTTTGTTCCGTCATATTTATATCTAAATTTTCCGTCTTTACGTGAGCTTGAGTTTGATTTATCGTTTCGTCACTATTATCACTCTCGTCAGATGTAACGAGTTCACTCGATTCTGATATTTTTGTTAAATCACCGATACCCGAATCAACAAACTTGAAACTTTTAGGTCTAGTAGGCGGAGCTAAACCTTCAGGATATAGTGGGTCACCGGTACTTCTCAACGAATAACCTTTTTTATTATTATTAGATGATCCAGAATTATCAGACATTTAAACTATTTCTCCATAGAAGATCATTGCAATCCCGGACGAGCCCCCAAAAATTGTTATGTAATTTTGCTCTTTAAAGGTGTCAATATGTAAACCATATGCTTAACCTTAGAGACTTTAAGTTCCTCTTTTTAGTCCTAGCCTTTCGACCAATAGACAGGGATGAGAGGATCTTCGATAGAGAAAGTAAAAATGTGTGATTTATATAAAAACAATAACAAAATTTTATTGAATGAAAATTATTGAAAAATTATAACAACAATTTAAACGTTACCAACAGATGATTTCTTTTACTCTGGTCGAGATGAATTACAATTAATTGGTCCTTAGTCGATGTTCCAGTCAGCGCAATTATTCACTTTTCTCGCGAATTAATTTAAATATCAATTTAAAAATAATTTGACGATCAAATAAACTTCATACAAGAATTTACAAACTTTGAAGTATTATCAATACGATACTCAAGACTTATGATTTCAAGAGATGTTCCACGACGATCTGATCTCGATCTTACTTTTTCGACAACTGACTGATGCATCAAACCTTACGTATTTATTTAGTCGAATGTGACATAATTAGAAGTCCCTTGCTTCAGGCGCGCACAAGTCCCTTCGCATGGTCTTTTCCCTTTTTGGAAAAGCTTAACGCTCTTCTTACGTCACGTACTCTTTTTTTAGAGTTTTATTGCTTTTCGCCACGTGGGTTTTCCAAAAGCAATAAAATATCTAAAAAATGACTTCCTCAACTATTCTTCGAAATCCTTTCTATTTTAACGAAATCTTAGGAAAACTCAAAAAAATAACTTGAGTAATAATCGTTAACCTCAATCCTTAAGTTTATCGCTATTCATTTTTAGCTTTTCTTAAAATATATTTTAAATAATTATATGAAATAATTAAAAATACATTTAGACATTACAAGATGTTCCATTGAGGTACGCTGATTCCTATTCAATTTCCCAATAGGATTTGATACTATTCAATGGGAATATTCTTGTCTTAGAATTTCCTATAGGATAATGCAGAATCCTTTTCGATTCTTCAATAGGATTTTAGTGCATTCAATAGGACTTGTGAGATGACAATTTCCCCATTGAAAAGAGGCAATTCTTTTTCGATGCTTTAATAGGATTTGATATAATTCAATGAGAATATTGTTATCTCAGAATGTCCTATAAAATTAAGGGTAAACCTATTAAACGTTTCAATCTTATTACCACAAAAAAAAATTCTTTTAAACGAAAGGAAATTTCAATTCGCTCTAGAGGTTCTTTGTTTATACGAATTTGTTTTTTAAATATACACCTGGTATGAAATTTATTCGAAAGTTAGTCCGAAAAAATCCTGTTGATGGTGAGATTCGATCCTGGCATCCTCGGGTCCACAGTCTAGTACGCTGCCGATTGCGCTATTCTAAAACATGGAAATATGCCTTTGGCCTAATCTATTTGGGTTAAAAATTTGAAATAATTTAGACGTTACTTACTAGAAAAAGAATAATTGTCATTTGTGAAGATATGATTGATAGAATGCAACTTAGAATATATATATTCATCCCAATGTCCCATGATAGGGTTTTATATTATTTAAAAGGAGAATATTAATACAATTTCTATACAAAATCAATGGATTCGAAAGGGAAACACGACTCAGAAATTATTTGAATAATTAATCAAACCTCCATAGGATTTTGCACTCTTTAATATGTTTGACTTCTCTAACATGCAATAGGATGAGAATAGATCCCAATAGGAAAATACGACTGAAAAATCATTTGAGAAATTAATCAAACCTCCATAGAATTTTGCACTGTTTAATAGGTCTGAATTCTCTGTACTTACATATGTTTGTGTGGACGTTTGCATTTTTATCGTTTTCGATATTTTAAGAACGGATTGAGATATCAACCCTAACCAAAATATATTCGGAAGATATTATTAACTTCCCAGTGGGAAGTTATAGTAATGGGTCCGATTTTGCGAATCGCTAATTTTGACATATCTCCACGTTTTAAGGTCCCCAGAGTTGAATACGATAGTTTTTACGTGGACGTCTGTGTGTGTGTATGTGCGTATGTGCGTATGTTCGTATGTGCGTATGTTCGTATGTTCGTATGTTCGTATGTTCGTATGTTCGTACGTGCGTTCGGAATTATTTTTCGCCTCGATTATCTCGAGAACAAAAAATGATATCGACGTGGGACCAACTGCATTCGACGCGTAATTACGTAACTTAGTACTGATTAGATTTTCAGCAAAATCGGTCCAGCCATTTTTTATGGAGAATCAAAAAACTGAAAAAATAGTGAACTACCTAAATTCTGCAATTTATAAATTATACCATTTTTTAGACGGAATTTCGAGATCTTTTCAGAAATATGAATATCAAATGTTTAGAATAATTGTACAGAAATATGATGACAGTATTTCATAGAAAAAAAATTTTTAAAAAACGAAATCAGCAATAAAAAAATTTTAAAATTGTGTTGGAATGGAGAAAATAGCGTTGAGGATAATAAAATAGTAAATGATTATTGTTAATAATAAGAAATTGTGTTCATAACGATTGAACATTGTTAATAACAAATGATTATCGATCATAATAATATTTGAATAAAAAATTTTTCAATTGTTATAAACAATTAAAATAGAGATCTATGCAATATATTTGAATTCTTTTAACGCGTAATTTTTTCTTTTGCTAAAAAAAAGGTACCAACCGTACGACATGAATGGAAACTCATTCTTTTTGTTTATAACGATTAAATCTGTTATAAACAATGAAAATAAAGATGTATGCAATATATAAGGATTCTTCTAACGCGTAATTTTTTTTTATTTTTTTCACTGGAAAGTTGGTCGTGTGGACCTTTCGGGTCGCACCCAGACCACTGCAGAGCACTGATATTTGTAAAGAAGATCTGAAAAGAGTTTAAACGGATTCGGTCAAACTGTTCATTACGAATTTGAATAGTTATAAACAATGCGTGATTGTTAAAAGTGATATTTGGTTGTGAACAATAATATCTAGTCAATATCGAGTTGATATCTAAATGGAATTGTTATTGTTTGGCATAAAAGTATTTTTAATCGCTAACTTTTTATCTATTTATTAGTTTTATTGTTATAAAAAATACATATTTTTATAATTTCTTTTTTTTTCAAGTTTACAAAAACAATACGTATCTATTAACAACACATGTCAACTTGTTTTTTCATTCAATTCTAAAACAGTACGTATCTTAAAAATTAACGTTAAAACTTGTCCAGTGTGTGCTTTAATTAAGTTAATTACAGTGGTGTCTTGTGCACCAAGCGTAAATTGCCATGATATTGTCCTTACGTCACGACGAGACACTACCGTGTTTCTATACAAGTAATAGTGATGATTTTTGCAGGTAATTATATTTAAAATTAAGATATTTTTTCAACAAAATCTTTTTCGTCCGGGAAAAATCATCACTAGTAACTCAATCAACAAAAACGTAAATTTAGATTATTCAGAATCTGTTGAAAATATAGACATATCGGTGCTAATAATAATGAAAGAAGAAATACAATTTACAGACAATACTTTAGGTAAAGGTGCTTTTGATACAGTCAGTAAGGCAATCTGGCGTGGTACTGAAGTTGCTGTGAAGATATTGAATTCATCTAGCTCAAACAAATATGTTCTACGGGAAATCATTGTAATGGACAAAATTAAGCATCAAAAGTAAACCAGCTATTGTTCATAAAGATGTTAAGCCAGATAATATTTTAGTTGATTCAAACTATACAAGAGAATTATGTGATCTTGGTATAAGCAAGTTTACAGAAATGCCTAATTTACTTAAAACTACAATTGATCATAATTTTCAAGGAACGCCATTCTTCATGGCCCCAGATATACTGATACAAAATAGAGCAGCTACTACTGCTTCAGATGTTTGGTCATTAGTAGGTGTAATAGTTGAATTATATAGTAAATCAAAACTTTGGTCTATAAAAGATTGCCAATTTGGTGGATTACAAGGATTGAAATAGTAGTTAAAAAGAACGATTACCAAGTTTGACTAACGTACCATACTCATGAAAAGATATTTTACGAAGATGTTTTTAACATAATGGATTTATGGAAGAGCGATCAACGGTGGATGCGATACTGAGAGTGCAAGAGTCCACGGAACGTAACTTGGTTGCATTGCTCTTCGATATCTCAGGCGCGTTTGATAATGTATGGTGGCCCTTAGTCCTCGAAGGACTAAAGTCACGAAACTGCCCCAAAAATATCTACAAAGTAATGCAAAATTACTTTACAGATCGTACAGTTAGCCTATCATGGGGAACCAGCTCAGTCACAAAAGTGGCTACGCGTGGATGCCCCCAGGGATCTCTGCTTGGCCCACTGTGTTGGAACATCATGTTCGATGATCTCCTGAAAACACTTGATCAGTCCGAACATGGAAAACGATACGCAGCGTACGCCGATGATCTAATTGTCATCATGGATGGCAATTCAAGGGAGACACTTGTAGCCAAAGGAAAGGCAGTTGTTGACACAATACTCAATTTGTGCAAGAATGCCAAGCTCGAACTGTAAAAAACGAAGACGGAAGCAATCTTTATGAAGAGAGGAATTACAGGGACAAAAACAATCCCAACTACAGAGAATATAAGCCACATCTCAGACACTAAGAAAGACAGGCATGAATGTAAACCGCCTAAGATTACAATAGAGGGTAACAGAATAAAGTACCCAGAAGTCGCTAGGTACCTAGGGGTCTGGTTCGGCGCGATATACACTTCGTACCGACGAAGGAGTAACGTATAACAGCACTAAAATCTCCCTAAACGACAACACGTCAGGGGAGAGGTCGACGCCGATAATGAACGTCAGATTGCAAACGATAAAAATATGGCAGGCAAAATGGGATGCATTTGAGACGGGCTGCAAAACATATCACTTCTTCCTGAACATAGCAGAAAGGCTCGATAATAAATGGATACGCCTGAACAATATAATGACACCAATATTCACAGACGCACGAGTTTATTTTGATGGGTTTCGTCCGCGATTTACGTTAATAGTCCAATAATAGTAATTAGTATTCGTTCAATAAAATGGATGAAGGATTCAAAAAAGGGCAATCGGATAATCTACCTAAAATAGATGAATTAATGGTTGCGCATTATTTATCAACAAATAGTAATTCCGTTGCCGCTGAAATGCGAGGAATAAAAATGCAAAGGTAAGTAAACTTTCCTTGCTACTACCTACTCATGCTTAATAGTTTATCTGTTCTAAATCTTGTTTTATCAAACAAAATATCCAACTAATGTCGTAATGGAAGAATGCAACTCAAACAGTAAAAGTACTAGTTCGTCCAGATCCGTTCAGTATTTTTTGCGTGAAAGATAACAAACATACACACACTCATAAACTTGCACATTTATAATATTAGTAGGAAGTAGGATAGGTACCTAGGATGTAGAAGTAGTGGGTTGAACGTTACAGACGTGCTAAACATTTTTTTATTTGTATTTTTTGTTTTTGCTAACAAAATACGTAAGGCCATTTATTATTTTAAACTTATTTCAGATCGGCAAGAGACAACTATGGCGATGATGCTATTGGTTATGTTCAAGTAAAAAGAGTAGGTGATGTATGTACGGTTAAATGTAGAATCACGCCAGAACACCGCGTGCGTACCACACCTTATCATTGCAGTTTAGAATGCAATGAAAAGGATCAAAAAGTTTTAAATGTAACCTGCGAAGATAGTGCTGCCAGCAGAGGTGGCTGTAAACATACTGTAGCATTTTTAATATGGCTACATCGTCGAAGCGAGGAGCCTTCAACGACTGCTACCAAGTGTTACTGGAAAAAATCTAAGCTTTCAAGTATTGGATGAAGGATGAAGGTGGAAAGTATACAAGTGATTTAAGTACAGATGCTATAGCCGGAACAATAACCCTTATGGTCTTAGTAACAGAACTAGTCGGCAAACCAAAATCCAAAGCCAGAATAGTATTAGGTTGATACAAGCGTATTTTTTTTAAGGTTATCATTATATTTTGCGGAGTACATTTTGTTGTTTCAGATAACATATTAATACAAAAATACCATTCTTTAGGTAAACCTAACAACAGTTGTGGTTCTCTCGATATGGATAAAAGAGCAGCCTTTTGCATATAGTTTTTAAAAAAAAGTGTTTCGCACTCCTGTTCCGAAACTGAATCTTCATTAAGATTCTTTGATTCTTCATCAAGGTTAAACATTTCATGTGAAGAGGTGTTTGAAGATGTGTTGTTTATACTACCAAAAGATACTGCATCTGGTGAAAATATTATTTCCCTATTCTTTTTTAAATATTTGCTAACAGTCATGGTTGATTTATTTACACCTTTAGGTTTCAGGTTTACTTGCACTCCCTTACTTTTTTTTGATATTTCTAAACACTAATCATTATTTCCAAAACTTAATGGATCTTCTATTGCTATTTCGTCTTCACAGCTAGCAAAAAATGTCTCTTCTGGTTTTTCTACCGCCAAAGTTTCATCTTTATTTAATAGTTTCTCAAAATATTCTATACGATTACGTTTTTGCACTGCTGATCTCTAAGGTTTATCTTCCTTTTCCTGTTGACATTTGAATTTGTGTGGAACTATACCCTGTTTTAGTTTAATTCTTCCCCCGACCAACTTATATTTAGTATAGTTCTCCATATCATTCTCAACCTAAAACAAGAAAAAATCTTATTAGCCATCTACCTACACCTAGCCCATACAAAGCAGAGCAAAAACACAGTCTAGTATAGATTAAAACTTGTATAGAAAACAAAGGATAACGCAAAACAGCTGCAATGTTCTCAAAATATTATAATATGTAGTACTATGTAAAAACACGGAAAATTCTGACACCAAAGATTTTGCACCTCTGATCATTTTTTGTTTATAAGTATTAAATGAATGTAAACTACAAAAGATTATAATAGTAATGTCTTAGGTATTCACGATCACTGTAAATTATATTGAAACTATTTTAATCCGGATTAATCGCGTACTTAATGATTTTGCATTTTTGCTGCCAATATAAAATCAATAAACACGCGATTAATCCGGTAAAAAATTGTTTCATTGTAAGATGAAAATAATTATTATTACTAATGTACCTTTATAAAATATGATCACTATACTTACGTCAAAATGGTCTTCACAACAATAAACTGTACTTTTATCTCCAAATGAATCTAACCTCTTCATAGCTTTTATCCATTTTTTTCTCATTTTAACGTCCTTTGGAACTATAAAAAAAACTTATCCGAATTGGTAGTTGTATTTTTACATTAAGGCACAACACATGATTTTCTGGTATTTGGATTGGACATTTTTAAAAGTATTTAATTATAATTTCGACGGCACGGGCGCGCGATCGCTAGCAGACTGAGTGAGCCAGATTGAGCGTGTTGTGGTGTGACGTCACACCGTCACCGGGCGTTTACAACTTGTTTTACTTCTAAATCGGAAACTAATTGACGTATCGAAGTAATCTTTTCACTAGTATTTTTTATTTTTGACAGAGAATATGAAGTGCTAATAATCAAAATTAGTTAACATTCTTCATTTGGGCTACTTTGAAAACAGCCCTTCAAATATAATATTTATACATATAGTTAATAAAAATACTCTCTTTCGAGCTGAATTTGCTCGGAATTTATTCCTTCCATTTGTTTCGATATCTACTGTGTAAATTTTGTTTCAATTTTTTATGAATGTACCAACAATCGGTATACAAACAATTGAGCTTATCAAGAAGATATATGTACACTGACAGAAATTTTTTCCGGTGGCGAATTATAGAATTTACTTGTCCCCAGTATAAAAGTGATAGGTAAAAAAGTTTCGGAAGGCAGGTAAAGAAAGTACCTGGAATCAGTAAAACTTCGTTTTAAAATGAATAAAAAAAATACTGAGTCTAAAAACAGAATATACCACTCCTGAGTAGACTACAAGCGGTTGAAGAAGTAATAAGTATACAAGTTTTATGAAAATAAAGTACTTGTATTTAAGTAGTCTTTCTACTTGGAATCAGTATAATGTGAGCCAATGTATTTTGTTTATCTCAAGTAGGTAGATAATAAAAGAAGATTACAAAGTTTACTTCAGTTGATAATATAGTTTTCTTACACTGAGGATCTTCCTTACTTACCACAAGTGTATTTTATACGGAGATCCCGTATAAAGCGTACTTATGCTAAGTATAATGCTGTTTTACACTTCAAAAACCATGTTCTCACATTATGAATCCTTTTTTATTAATAAGAAAATACTTGTTACTTGATTCAAGTATGTCAATTCTTCACTGCAAGTATATTATATACTTAAATTAAGTATACGAAGTACTCATGCTAAAATTTTTTTCTTATTAAATTTAAAAATTTCAAAATATAAATAATCATATTAATAATACAAAAGTTACTGTTATACCCATTGGTATTGGTCAATTTAAATTAGTGACCATTACTGATGAAGTAATTTAATGATTAAATATTCAGTAATTAATAAATAGATGAAAAGTGTGTTGTGCTTTTAAAAACTCCAAGTTGCTCCAGTTAGACTATGCCTGTAGAGTGTTTATTTTCCAACTTAGCGCTCAGAAATAAATTATTCGATATAATACCTTTGATGATGATAAATAAATGATTGATTGTATAATCATCAATTCATAGAGATAATCATAATTTTTTCATAAGTGCAACAAATATTGTTGCATATTTCAATATCTCGAGCTGCTGCCCAGTGTAAGTGTAGCAGCTCTACGTATTTAAAAGTACAACAGTAATTGTTGTAATTATTATAAGATTACTTTTCATCCATTTGAGACTTGATCTTGAAGGTCAATTGAATCGGTAGACCAGGATTTGATGGTGTGATTGTCTGTATTGTGCTTTCAGTTGTCGATCTCCGTTGTGGCTGGAGATCTGGCTCTTCTAGTTGATCAGTTGGACTACCAAACTCCTCTACACCATCGTCAGGAGTCACGC